ATAGTGGACAGTGGTACGCCAATGACTACATAATAGTGGTACGTGGAAGGCCACATATAGTAGTAGATAACGAAAAAAAAGTGAATTTATTTTACATCGTAAAATAATGAAGGTTTAATGAAAAAAAATATATTAGATTCTGAGCTTAGCGATCTCATTGAAAATTTGTTATTTAAGTAAATCATGGTACACCAAATGGAGAATTAAACTGAATCAGACCAAGTCAATTCATACCACCTTCACCTTGAAACGTGGAATCTGTCCTCCAGTTTCATTGGATAATATTAATATACTTATACCTGCATCCGATACAGTTAAATACTTAGGCCTTATCTTAGACAAAAGACTGACCTGGAATCCACACATCAGATCCAAAAGATTAATTTTAAACTCTCGTTCTCGTATGCTCAAAACTATGCTTTCAAAAAATAAATACACAAGCTTAAAAAATAAACTGCTAATTTACAAAACATTTTTAAAACCAATCTGGACTTACGGTCTACAACTCTGGGACGCGGCACGCGGCCAAGAAATCGAATCTAAACAAAATACAATCTTATCAGAATATCACTCTACGTCAACTCACTAACGCTCCGCCATACATTTCAAATATAATACTCCACAACGATCTAAATATTAAATCAATAGAAGAGGAATCTGTATTATTTTACAAGCGATTCTTCTCACATCTGGCAAACCATAATAACCCACTAATCAATAACTTAAATAAATTAACACTTCCTGATAATCCTCGCCAGTGGCGTATTTTGGGGGGGTGTCCTCCACGTCTTGACACCCCCGACATTTAAAAAAAAGTCCTAATATATTGCACATTAGTGTTGTCACTTATTTTATAGTATACTATTTTTATCAAATGTAAAACTTCTTGTCAATTCCTAACATATTAATTTGTTAAAMAATTAATTCAAYGTCTTTTTACATTAGTAAATARWACTAAAAATTTTGTTTGTGAGGTTCAATAAATGTTGACACCCCCCGAGAAATCACCCAAAATACGCCACTGCTCCTCGCCGTCGACTGAAAAGGAGATGGTGCAGAGATCTCTTACAATAATCACTCCAAATTTTTTTTGTATTATAYCGTAGCATCCGGATGCCCTTCAAACATCTGTTGCTCTGAACAAATTCCCTTAAATCCCTCCATCGGCTCCATCAATTCCGGCTCTGAACGTTTACATTTAACACAATTTCCGGAACCTAAACTTATATCATTATATCAATATAGCTTTCTCTACGGAGAGTATATAGTCTCCGGCAGTCCGGCTGCCTGAGAATATCGTAAACTGTATTGTTATTATGTGAACTTTCAAAACTTTGTACATATC